TTACCGGATCACGTTTGTGATCGTGCTTATGGTCACGTTGATGTTGTTTTTACATATAGGTGTACTAATTACTAAAGACGATTGCTATTGATATGGTTTGTATTGGAGCTACTGGTCACGTTTGTATGGGTGCTACTGATCAAATTAAATGTGGTACATCTGTTCACGTTTGTGTTGGTGCTATTGATCACCTTAGTTCTAGTGCTACGCTAGTTATGTGCTACTGGTCACGTTAGTTGTGTGCTACTGATAACGTTTGAATTGGTTAACCAGATGACATTTGTAATGATGCCATTGATCAATGATATGTTTCAATTAAGTCATCTACGTCTGTCAAGGGTGGTAATTTTCGATAATTTGTATTTTATCTGTTGTCTCCCTTTGTAAACAAATATTTTAAGCTCCAGATAAGCAAACGCCAAACTTTAGTCGACAGGTCGTACAATCTAGCTTGAATTTGCTACTCGGTTTCTGACTAACTCATGGAATTGCGTGGCATAGCGATAGAGCGATAGATTTATAACCTAAAATTCTCGAGTTTTAACCCTCGTATAACATGCCTGAGTTCTTTCAGCTCTTTTGGCTAACTTATGAAAGGGAACATATAGGCTATTGGGCATAATGCTAGTGGCACTATCCCTTCATATGCCGACGTCAAAGAAACAGGTGGACCCTACTTAACCTGCCTCTGTGGTCCATCTGGTACGAAAAGATAACTACTTTTTTTTTTGTTTTTGATTTATTTTAACTAAAATATATTTGCTACCGTGTACTACCTACTACATACATATTGTTACATAAACACATCAAACAGTTTGTCTTGTCTCACCAGTCAACTAGTGTATTAATGATATAGGTATCTCTTGGTGTTGTGTGTGGGAAGTCAAATTCTATCACCAAAACTAATCACACAACTCTTTGATCTGAACGTGCGGGCCTACAAGGATGAGTACGACAGCTGGCGTGACTGCGTCATGATGTGTGACATCAGGATGTGCAACCTCATGATGTATGTCATCAGGATGTGTGACATCATGATGTGCAACATCAGGATGTACAGAAACCCGGAGATAGCTTCCACACAATTGTCATTAAACCGCTTAAATAGTTGAGATTAACTATATACATTTCAATTTCAAGAATGCTCCAAAAATATACAATTGGCTTGAAAAGTGGTTAAAAATCTATATAATCATTTAAAATGAAATACAAAAATTTGCAAGCGATATAATTACAGTTACGTTTAAAAAAATCAAAGCCATTTGGGAACAATCGATTGCAATTATGTTTATATTATTGTATTCATTTTAAGGCGTGGAAAAAATGTAGATTTATTTTAAAACTATAAAAACTGCAAAAACCATCAAATAAGTAACCGCATTTATCAATTGGTAATATTAAACACGAAGTGTAGCAAACAAATTCTTAAATATATATCGAATTAACTAGTTTTACTCTAATTATAAATAGATAACTTAGTGTAAAACTTAATCATTGAGGCCTAATGTAATATGTTTCAATCCTTATCAAATAATTGTGGCCAGCCGAATGTTTGTTATGTTTTAACCATATGGTTGTAGCTTGTAAACTGCAGGACCAATGCACTAACACGGCAACCAATAAAAAACAAAACCAAAATTTGTCCAGAGAGGGGAGGGTATCTGAATTGTTAAGCGTTTATTTTTATCGTAGATCAGATTGTAATACCGATATAGATGGATTACAAAACGAATGTCGTCATTGCTGCTCTGTCTGACCTTACCTTCGGGCGATTTTTGCTGCTGTACCGTGTCAAGTGGATCTCTGGATGAAGGTACCTCATCAAGGTCTTCAACACATAGACGTGTACAGTTGTTGCTGTACCGTGTCAAGTGGATCTCTGGATGAAAGGATCCCATCATGGTCCTCAACACATTGACGTGTACAGTTACTCGTACGATGGGGTATAAAGTATAGCATGTATTGGTTGTTGATACTGACTGCTCAACGACACTTGAACGACTCTTTGGTAAGAATAAACTGGCTATAAATATATATATATATATATATATATATATATATATATATATATATATATATATATATATATATATATATATATATATATATATATATATATATATAACGATTTTAAATGAAATTGATGACTTCCGTAAATATGATTTTACACATTCAAATAAATAAATGACTTAAACAATTTTACTTTTCCATTTAAATAGGAATGAAATCTTGAAAAGAAAAAACACAATTTTAAAATCGATCGCACGTTACAATGAAGTTATATTTCCTCAACTATAATCCTTAACACTATCTAAAGAAATGAAATAAATCTAAAAGTGTATTCTACTGACTTAACTCAATTTATTTTTACACAATAACGATTGTCTGCGCGGCTAAAGTAAATATTGATATTTTTTCCTTGTCATTTCCCCTTACAAGAAAATGAACGTTGCTCTTCTACTCGGATGTTCGGCTATCGTGCTGTTGCTAGGCAACACGTTAGCCAAAGACTTGGCTACAAGAACAGAGCGAGATGTAGATGAAGCTTTTAATCAAATCCTCAGGAGATCGCTTGATGACAATGCAGAGGTAAAGCTCGTTGCAGTATAAATAAGTAATAATATATGAACATTATTTGTATTAATATCTTAGTATAGTTGTTTATTAAAGTTTTATATATATATATATATATATATATATATATATATATATATATATATATATATATATATATATATATATATATATGTGTGTGTGTGTGTGAACACATATATGCATATAATTTCTCGTTTCTTGCACACATAATTTCCAGATGAGAACTAGAAGAGGCTGGTTCAAAAACGTTTGGGATACAATTAAGAAGCCACTAATTACGGCTACCATTGGCGCAGTGGTTGGCAAGAGAGATTTCCCTGGGTTTACTCCGGTACGTCTGAATAGAAACATCGTATGTTAATAATTAGTAATTATCAGGTTCCTGAAAACTTAGGCAAATATCATATCCATAGATTTAAAAGGTTTTGTTAAAGATAAGGCTTGTTAGCTGGGGACAGCCACTCTTCTAGGAGAGGCAACACCAAAATCAAACAACTGCTGCCTTGTAGCTTGTTCTTGGTTGGACAAAGGCTATGGAAGCAAATCGGAAAAAGAAAAGCAGGCTGAAATCGGAGTCAATGGCATTAATGGCGCATACAACAGTTGACATGTATACTTAATTTTGATTCGAGGAATCCCTTCTAACACTAAAAGTAAGAACAAGTAAGAAGTTAAACAATTGTTCTTTTTAATTGAGCCTACTTTAATTAAATGCTACTTTTACAGTCAAACAAGAACAACGGTGGAAATGGTTGGAAATGGGGACAGAACTCCGACAAATGGAAGCAATGGAAAGAATCTGGTAAAGACAAAGTTCAAGGGGAGTAAAGAGCAGGTTCTGGTAAAGAATGTCGACATGATGGTGTCTTAGAGACTGTGACAGTCCTAGTTACACCAATATAAGTGAACAGTCGAGAAAGCAAATAAAATGGATTTTTCCTCTGAAATAACGATTTTTTAAAGTATTTTTTTTTAAATTTGATTTCTGTTTCGGAAGTTTTAAAACAGACGTTGAAAGTAATGTGTCAACCATAAATCTGTATGACTTTTTCTTAGCCTCATAGAACTTTCTTTCTCCCTCCCTCTCTCTATACTCTAATTGTATCTGAAATAGAACAAATCAAACATAAAACCCTTGTTTTATTGCGAGTGAAATAACATTGAAAAAATTATAATGAGTATCATCAATTGGGGATTAAGATTTTGAGGGAGTAATTGCAAGTTATTATTTTCATTGTTTTATGTAATATTCCATTTAAGTTTCAAAATATCTAATAAGAATAAAACTTTAAGTTGAAAACTATCACAACAAACATTATAAATTTTAAAAAAATCAACAAAGTTAAAACCTCTCATGGGATATATTGTGAAAGAAAGATTGAAGTTGAAAACTCTCATGATAAATTATATACATGAATCAAAACTTCGAAGTTTAAAACTCTAATGAGAAACATTATAAAGGAATCAAACATTGAAGTAAAAAAAAAACTCTTATTGGCCATATTGTGAATAATACATTGAAGTTAAAAATTCTTATGATAAACATTACAAATGAATCAAAAATTACATTTTAAATATACCATCGGCTATTTGACCGCATGGTCGAGATAGCTAATGAAAGATTTAAAATGTTTCGAAAATGTATTTAAAAAAAAATATTACTAATGTAATACTACTAATATTACTGTTGTGCATACTAGATTGAGTATAATAACATGGTCTAGACGGCCCCTGAATCACGCATATGAGAATTGTCTACATTAAGTACATTGTTATTCTGTCTTGACATCTGTCTACACAAGGTGGTGAAAAGATGTACAATAGTTCTGCGTACGGCTAGGCTTATATTTATAAAGTAATTGAAACACAGTTTTATTTGACATGTCAGAGTTTAGTGATGACCAGCCCACCTTATACAAAGTTCAGAGCAATACACATAATGCCGTCATTAAATCAGATTCGTTAGCATTACACACTTTTTTTAAAGACTAGCCTATCTTACTATTACGAATGTTAACCAAAAACGATTAACACAAGATGTTGTTTTATGTAAATGTATGCAATTGATGAAGACATAATTATAGGAAACAAAAGATTAAAATTACTGAAATAGTCTAACTTAAACATTTACAACGGGATATAGAAATGGTACGTACGTTATATACGAAACCGCAAGTTTATCGAGAGAAAATTGACGCGATGATGTGGCCTAGAGTTAGACCGCTAGACAGCTAACGCCAAAGTTCGAATTGGGGTTCAAAGCAGCAGAACGTCCATGAGTCTACCCAGCCCTGATGGGTACCTGATTAACGTTAGTGTAAGTTAAGGCGGCTGGGCATAGTGCTGTCCACACTATCCCTTCATATGCCGAGGTCAAAGAAACAGATCACTTCACTCTCGCCATGGACCGCTAGGTTTAAAAAGCAAATTTAACACATACACTAAAAGTTCTTTAATACTCTTTTTAAAAATGTGACAAAATTATCAAACTGAAAGTTTTTTGAAAAATCGAAATTAAAGTGATGTACCACTTCCGGTTACTGAATGATGCTGTTGGATAATAGACAATTTATGAACAAATTTCGTTTACGTGTTTACACAGACAAACACACAATATAGTTAACTCGTGATTTTCCGACAAAGACTTTAGTAAAAAGTCGAAATTAATGTATTAATAAGTAGTTTATGATTTTTGCTGTGCTTGACAAATATACTTCCCTATCATCCAAGAAAGAAAAAACAACAACAGAGCCCCAACAAGCATTCAACAAAATATTCTACTAGTATTCTTTCATCTCGAAAATTTCAACCTAACAGTGGTCTATTTAGACGTGGGGTAAATCAAACCAATTACCACATTATACATTAAACAAAACCACATTATATATGCGTGTACATTTAGCATCAATCTTTTAAAGTATCGAATTTTTATTTGTATACCTCTTTATTCGTTTCAAAATAAGTGTAACGTTAAAGACACAATAATTGTATTTAATGCGTTTTGAGACATGGCAATAACATTAACCGGGTGAAGTTGCCTGATATATGAATGGCGTGGTCGGGAGGTTAAGTAAATGACTTCTATCTAGCTCGAAAGTCTCGAGTTCAATGTTCTTAATCGGATTAGTTGAACGCACCAGACCAGAGTCTACCAAGCTCCTGTCGGTACCAGACTGCCAAAAGGAAAAGTCAGGTCAATAGGTAGAGTACTGACCAGACTATCAATCTACATTTCTGAAACAGATTCACTCTGGTACAACTACCCCATCTGCGTTTGGACACTAGAGAACAGAAGACTGGGCTTAAGCTTGTGCGGGAAATGGTTTATCAGAAACTATATCTGGTATAAAATAGATAAAACTGTCTGTTTACTTTTTATCCATCAGATAATACTGCAGCGTTCCGAAAAAAGATTATCATAAAAGTTCCATTTCAAACCCGACGGTCTACGGGGCAAGTGAAGTCGAGTCCACTTGCTTCTGTGACCTCGGGATAGCGTGGTCAGCACTATGACCAGCCACCTTTACTTACCCTAACGTGAGTTAGGTACCCATCAGATTAGGTGGACTCAGGGACGGTCTACTGACTTGAACCCGGATGCGAACTCAAGACTTACGGGTTAGCAGTCCACCAGTTTACGGTCCCTTCAATTTTCAAATTATCTTAATTGACGTGTATTCGCATATGTCGAAGATTTAGAGTAACAGCTGTCGATTTACATGTTGGTTAAATCTAACAAATAAGTTTTTCAAATTACTACAGTCTAGATGAGTTATATACAACATAAATTGATGACATTAGATTCATCTAAAATTACATCCCAATGAGATTTAAATTTTTTTTAAAAACAATCAGGATTTAGGATAATTCAATTTACAAATGTTCTACCTGTTAAATGCTATGATGGTAAGTTTATAAGACATTTTAAAAGACAGTGTTTGTGAAAGATATGTTGTCAAAATTAGCAATCGGATCAAGATTTTAGTTAAGTTTGATTAGTGTTAATATGTAACATTAATTAAGCACATCCGCAAGATGTGTTAACCGTGTTAGAATTAAATTATATTGCCTGGTTTTCTGTATTTAAATATTGTGCGGGGATTTATAGGGAGGCCTTGGGAAGTAGAGTGGGGTGTCTAAAACCAAGGTTGATATATTAATAGTAAAACACACATATCACACATTGCAATATATATGCATATACATATGTATATAGCCACAACTATATATATATATATATATATATATATATATATATATATATATATATATAAACAAGTGTTAAACTACATGTTCACAAGTCACTACTCAAACAAACGTACCCCAAAAACTAAACAGTATGTTGTTAACATCAGTCTTTAATAAATGAACTAGTGATACAAATGTATCTGAAATATAACACCACAACCATTGTATCAAATATTATAACTGAAGTGAGATATATGATCAGCGATTCAAAATAATCAAAAACATTACATCCGCTATTTCATCATACATTACATCACACATTATTTTTGATAATGCTTACGCCATTACATCAGACATTTCATCCGCCGTTACATGAAACTTTAAATCTGCCATTACATCAGACATTACATGAAACATTACAACCGCCGTTATATCCGCCATTACATCAGCCATAATATCAGCCATTACATCAGCCATTACCACAGACATAACATTAACCATTACATAAATCATTACATCAACCATTACATCAGCCATTACATCTCACGTGTATCACCAACAATCTACCACAAGCTGCCTCTATAGACTTTGATCACCTCTCTATTACATCACACCTAGTCGTCAACATTTAACTAGCTGACCTTTGCTCCCGGCGTTTCTAGAAAATTCCCGCGACAACTCACTCTGTGGATAAAAGGAGCTCATCAAGCTATCAAACACGTACACTAGTTGAGTACCACACTCGACCTCATCAAACTATCAAACACGTACACTAGTTGAGTCCCCCACATGATGGGGTATAAATTCTAGCATTTACTGGATGTTGATACACACTGACCAGCAAATCACGACCTTGTTGCAGGAAACAGGTAAGTTTGTGGTATTGTATGGTAAACTATATACAAATCATAGCCCTTTATATGATTGATAAATGTTCTTTAAATTTTAGCTTAAAAGTAAGAAGTTACTATTTCGAACTTGGCGATCAATGTATGAAAATAAATTATAGTTTATCTGATTATTTTACCTTAGCATATGAAGCGATATTAGTGTAAGTACTAACTTAGCAGCAATTCATTTCTATAACGTCAGTCAAGTACCTATAATTGCTACAGAATCATTTGTCTTTTTGTGTGCTGCTTTTAAATTGAGTCTGACTAGATTTCTATTATTAAACCAAATATAGAATTTTTCGGCAATCGACAAAGATTTGATTTTTATTAAAACTCAATTATTGCGTTTCAAATATCATTGTAATGAAATATCTTCTTAGTCAAAGCTTAAGCTAAATTACAATTAAACCATGATACTAAACTTAACATCCGTAAGGTCAGTGTGACGGTAAAACCGTTTAGGCCTAGCTCCACGTTATTCTTACACCACCCTCTACCTGCTCTATACTCCCCCCCCCCCCTTTATACAACTACGTACATCCCTATCTTTCGTCCCCCTCGCAGGCCCCTCTCTAGTTGGCTAGTTTGTCCACGTGACACACCGCCAATGTTAATGCATAAAAGGGGATGCAACAAAGAAATCTCGCACTCTCCCAGCACTGAGCTCAGCTGGTGGTGTCGCACACGGCGTTTGGGCCGTCGGCCCTACTCCCATGTGCATGGTTATTGGTTTGGTATTATTTACTTAACTCATTCTATAACTGTATGATTTGTAACGCATATAAATAAGTATGATTCATATGTATAAGCTTTTAGAAGTATAATAAATTAAATTGTACTCTTGCAGTAACTTTGTGTTTTTAAGTAACTTATAGTTATTATTTTACTACAGGCCGTAAACTGCGGGCATTGATTTGACCCGTAGTCATCGGACCTGATATAGTATTTTATACACCGGCCGTAAACCCTTACCACAGTCAAGAGGTCATCGGACCAGGTTTGTTATTACTTTAAGGCTGTAAACTGCGCACATTGAATTGTAGCGTAGTCATCAGACCTTCAGCTTGCCACTATTAAGTTACTTATTACGATTACTGCATTAGCTGCTGAAACTTATTATTACTTTACCCTGTCCGTGACTTAGTGCACGTGACAGTTGTATACATACTTTAAAATACACTTACTATATTCCCGGTAAATAAGCGGCACAGACCCTCTTACCGGTTGAATACCAGCATTTTACTGATTATCCCAGTTAGTACCAATACCAATTTTATTTCCTTTTACCGTTAACAGTCAGTACATATTTAACATGATACGATTTAGTAGCCCATAATATTTTTAGTTTTTTAAAGATAAGTGAAATCACCTGCGAATTTCTTCTTTAAATTATTACCATAACATACTGTGTGGTCACAGAATATAAATTACACTTTATTTTGTGATTTTCCCCAGGAAGATTTCAGAAAATGAACACCCCCATTCTAATCGCTTTCGCCGCCTCCTTGGTGCTCCTTAGCTACACATCAGCTAGGAGCGTGGATGGATTGGACTCGGAGTTGAAGCGAGCTTTTGACGAGGTGTTTTCACAAAATCTCAAGAGGGCATTCGATGAGACCACATCGGTAATATATTTGTATATATTATATGTGTATGGATGTATGTATGTATGTATGTATGTATGTATGTATGTATGTATGTATGTATGTATATAGGGACATCTACAAAACTAGAGTCGTACCGAGATCATAACTCAAGATTTTAAGGTTAGCAATCTAGCGCTTTACCACCATACCACAAAGTCTCACATTATTTTAATATCCTTATTTCTAAATAAATCTCTATGACACTTATCGTCACTTCTAATACAAACAGTAGTTCTAGCTCCTAAATTTTGTTTTTTTTTTCTACTTGCAGGCATTGGATGGGTCAAAACGTTCTGGGGATCTACAACGCCGTGGTTTCTGGAAAAATCTCTGGAACGGCATCAAGACCGTGTGGAACGAGAACAAAGGTGCCATCATCGACTCCGCCATTGGTTATGTGAAAACTCTAAAGAAAGAAGAACAGCTTCCTGCAGAGACAGAAGGCGACGATGGAAACAACGACGAGGGTGATGAAGAGGATCAGGACGATGAAGAGAGTGAAAAGGAGTTTATTGAATTTCTACAAATTGTCAATGGCCAATAGAAAGAAATCTGTGTTTCAATTTACAAAATGGTGTGGCTTGAAATTTGAAATTTGTGGATCTAAAAATAGTTTCTTAGTTGACTTTAATTTGGACTTTGTAACTAAAACTTTGAAATAAATGAAATCATACACACATGAAATGTGTTCTTTGATTGATATGTTTGTGTGAAGCACATATTGTATACGAGTATACTTAAATACAACCATAGAGTCATTATTTCAATTTGTTTTACAAATTTATAATTTTTTTTCTATTGACAACAAAAATGACGATGTTCAAATTCATATATTTTAAAACATTATCACAAACATATAGAAAAAAACACTATTTTAATTCTAAATTCGTTAAAATCGTTGCAATTTTGAACTATATCGAACTAAAGAAGCATAATTTCAATTTGAGAGAAAATTTGACTTTAAATTGTTATTTTTCTATAATATCATGGTAGAGAATGAATAAAATAAATAAAAGTGTTTTACACTATGGTAGTATAAAAACATATACCATTAAAATGTACTTTTCCATACTTGGTTTAACAAATCTGGCATTTAGGGTTTCTAAATGTGGATAGTTCGAAAATTCTTAGGCAGACAAATGATTGGTATTCTTCAATAGAAAAAGTATATAGATATATTAAAAACTATTCATTTATAATATATGTATCTTAAACATTTTATTGGATTTTCATCATGTACTTGAAATAGTCTAGAATAAACCCAATAAATTATTCATCTAAAAAGTATTTTAGAAACTCAGAACAAATTATACTTAGTTATACGAATTCCTCAAAATATCTGTCACAAATTCATAGTTCTTTTACTCGATTAAATTTTTATATTGTAAACGAATGACATTTATTTACTGTCATTTTAAACTATAAATACGAACAATTATAGATTCAAAATATTATAAATTACTTTTGGCTTCGCCCACAAATTGTTGATTTACTATAAACTATGACTTCCAATCCTATAATGCCTTGAGTAAGTAATGAGACTGCAAATTTGCATTTGCGTTTAGTTTATAATTACAGGACCTGCTTTTAATTAATCTATTATTGATGTTGATGCATCTATCATATGTTTTTTTTAAAAACCCGGAAAAATACAAGTTTCATATTTAATGGCACTAACAGATCGTCGAAACTCCAAATAACAATATGTTCATATAACTAAAGATATGGTCATTACCCCAAGAGGGCATTATGTTTGAAAGGGTTGCGAAACCTACCAATATATATATATATATATATATATATATATATATATATATATATATATATATATATATATATACTGTAAAGCTCCACTATACAAACAATCAAACATAATAACATACGATATTTAAAAAAAAGGTAAGAAAATAGAGTTTTAAAAGTGTACACTTCAAGACTAAATATTCGCCCTTATTAAAGTTGACAAATCGTATTACTGGTTTCAAAATTCAGAAATAAGTTAATTCATTTGTTTTTGCTTATATATTGTGTTTCAATTAATTGCTATGAATATTACTTTTCTCGCTCGTGTGGTCTTTGAGAGTCGTAAGTAATTGACAATTATTCTTACGATTAGATACGTAAGTTGTTGATATCATTAGTTCCTACAAGTATCTGTCACATTCAAAACCAGTTTGTCGTTTGTTTTTAGTTTTTACCGAATTAATTTTTTGAAACTTGCAAACTTTAGTAATGTTTTTGTACAGTTTTCAAGGGAGATTACTCTATTAGTGGGATTTTTATGTACTTTACTTTAATTTGGCTTAGCAGAAAACTGATTAAAAGTTAATTGAAATAGACAATACTGTAAGTAACTTTTTTTTTTAAAGTAATTTTATTTTTGCTTTTTAGTCGTATGCTTTCTTTAAGAGAAAATAATTTTCAATCAGATATTTAGATTTAGATAACCTGTGTTTTGTAACTAGAGTTTGGTAACTTCTTTAATCCAACATTCATTTAACGTTACTACTTTTATGCACAGTTTACTTATTCTCTCGAAGTCAAACATCATAATAAAAAAAAAAAAAAAAAAAAAAGAAGTCAAACATAATTGAGGCAAAACGTCTTGAATATGATTCAAGATATTAAATTTATAATGATGACTTATTTTTTATGACTACAAAAACCTCTTAAATTGATGAAGCTCTAAAGCAGGGGTTCCCAACCATTTTTTACTCCAGAGCACATTCTAAAATATCGGTAGGGTGGCGGGCACCACCTATTTTAAATCGACAAACTCCTTCCAGAGGCGTAGCGACCCTTCCCGTCACCCGGGGACAAAACTTTCGATTTGCACCCCCCTTCCCCCCCCCCCCTCAAACTTTCGATTTCCATCCCCTTCAACCTTTCAATAATGTTTATGAAAAAAATTATGTCTCTGTCGAATAGTGAGAGGCGGGCACGTACGAATCGTTCGGCGGGCGCCATGGCGCCCGCGGGCATGGGGTTGGGAACCCCTGCTCTAAAGAATAGTTTTGATATTGTCATTACAGATCCACCTTTCCTGTCAGAAGAATTTCTCTGTAAAACTGATATGACAATTACGTTCCTAGCTAAAGAAAACAAATATTGTATGCACAGGTGCTGTGATGGCAGATTTAGACAAGGTTACCCCTTGTAAATTTGAGCCAATGCACCTCAACAGCCTACAGAGAAAATGTATGTGCTACAATAACTATGAAAGTACAGGATTAAACTAGTCATTTATAAAAAATAAATTTAAAAAAAATAAATAAAAAAATAACTTTCTCTAATCGTCTTGTATGAGGTGAAGTTTTCCTGCTTTCATTATGGCCACCACTACTCGCTTAACGAGCGCAGCTTCAAGGTTTGTTTGATTGTGTAGCGCTGAGAAAGAGTTGAACTTGACAGAAGAGACGTGATCTAAAAAATGGAAGGCTGAAAGAGAACATCGACAAGTTACGATATTCATATTGAATTTTGATTCATTTTTTACATGTGTCTAGATATAGGCCAATATATATATATATATATATATATATATATATATATATATATATATATATATATATATATATATATATATATATATATATATATATATATATATATATAATATATATATATATGTATAATTTATATATATATATATATATATATATATATATATATATATATATATATATAATACAATAAATAATAAATATAATGTAAGTATAATTAAAGGCTATACTTGTAAAAGAAGATGACAGGAGAAATGACCTCAGAAAAATAAGACTTGTGTCATTATAACTCAGGAAATAAAGTTATCAAGAACAAAATATCTACGATAAAATAGTTCACGGCAACACATCTACAACTATTTTAAAATTATTAAAAAACTAGAAAACTAAACAGTTTTGTAGTATTACACACATTGTGCGGCATATTTCTTGTTGATAAAAATATAAACTACAAACAAACCATTGGTTTCCTCAAGGTTTATTTTAGTCGTGTTTTTCCTCTGGGATCCATTAGGATCATACTGCCACGCTGGGTAACAAATACCATGTAAACAAACAACCTGAAGAGTTAAAAATAGAATGTTAAAGTAATATATTTAGAGTTAGTAATTGAAAAGTAGGGACGACGTGGTCTAACGGTAGATCGCTAGACTTCTAACCAGAGTTCGAACCCCGATTTATATCAGTTTAACGTTCATGAGTCAACTCAGCTCTGATGGGTACTTATCTCACGTTAAGGACCTAAAGGCGGCTGGGCATAGTGCTGACCACACAACCCTTTTAATGCGGAGGTCATTGAAACATATATTTCTACTTCATCTGTCAAGAATATATTGGACACGCACGGGAAAATGTTATGGTGAACAATTAAAAAGTAATAGTAGAAACGCAATTCATTTTAATGTGTAGAGTCGCTCTTATGCAATACTTGAACGTACGCCATGAAAGCTATTTTTACTTTCTCGTATACAAAGTATAGAGGAAGTATTGTAATCGTGCAAAAAAAAAATCGAGATTTTTGCATGTCTCGACGTTTTACGCCTCACTGAGTCGGAAAAACATAGTTTTGCAATTTTGTACGTACGTTTGTGTGTGTTTATGTGTAAATTAGTGTGTGTGTGTGTGTCTGTGTGTGTTTATGTGTGTCTGTGAACACGATAACTTGATTACTGTTACAGCTAGTTTATATGGTGCAATGTTTAGAGTGAGTATTTGTTTAATATTGGCGAACAAATGTTAACTAAGGGAAACAATTTACGAACCTACACTCTGGCGATATAGTTATTTCGCTAGTTATACAAACAGTCATTACCTGTAGTGAGTTATCCACATGAAAACATTCTGGGTTTCTCTCGTAGATCTTGTAGTACATCAGACAAGAGTTCATCGCCCATAGGTCATCACGGTAATACCTACACACACATTGGAAATATTATATTTAAGCTATAACATCACATCAAATGTGTTTTATTTTGTGTTTGTTTCGTTAAAATAAAATGTTGCGATACTCGATTTCGTTTGTTGGTTTCTTATTCCGTTTATTTAATGTTTTTACTTGTATTTACTTTCACACGTATTTGAAAGTCATACTTTTAGCTGCAACATTAAATCATGTTTTTTGTGTTAAATGTTATTATGATTAATGTATACCTTTGTTTGTATAGATTGTTAGCGAGGAAATTTAAACAAACTAAAATATTTTAAAATTAAAAAATATCATTAAAACAGATGGACTCTACTTCATCTGTCGCATGCGTATTGGTCGAGATCAAATGATGAATTCAACGTTGTACAATACGACCACGCCGTTCAACTTAAGTAATATTAGGCACTGAATTGTTCTTCTCACCAGAACGATTGTAGCATTTTAATCTACTTCTCATCAGAATGATTCCAGCACTTAAATCTTTTTCTCACCAGAAAGATTCTAGTACTTTAATTATCTTCTCACCAGAAAGATTCTAGCACTTTGATCTTCTCACCATAAAGATTCCAACACTTTGATCAAGAACAAAGCCCTCGGTTTCGAGACAATCACGCCGTTGTTGATCGTCCTAGGACTGTACTTATGGTGTGGCAGCTCGTAGCTACCCATGGCCGGGTACCTCCTTTGTTCTTCAGAAAGTGGCTTGACCCAGATGACGTCATTGTCCTTTCAACATAAAATAATTAATT